GCAAAATAGAAACATAACTGCTCTTGATATGTATATATATATCTCTATATATACTCTTGCATATATAGAGATATATAGTTTATTTCCACTGACTGAACCTATCTCGTGAACATTTTTCAGACCAATTAAGATTCTTCAATGAACTTTTTAAAAAGGCTTTATAATATCTATTGGACAACTACATGATGTTCTATTTAATGATCTGACATTGTTGGCTATTTTGATGCTTTCCCTGGGATAAACACCAGACTGCTCTTCCAAATCTGTGTGAGTAAGAGAGGACAGTGCATCACGAACTGCTTAAAGACAGAGGGAGATTTGCTAAAGGAATGAAGCAACTTTTATCTCCCCAGTAAAGTCCTGGAATTAAAAAATAAAGAAAAAGAAATTCTTTTTTTAAAAGGCCGCAGAGTCTAGCTGCTTATCTGAGCTTTATCAACGTGATTCAAGTACACCAGCGGGCTCCTGGCTGTGTCTGAAATCCCTCAGCACCATACGAGGCAGAGAAGTGACAAGAGTACGTCTCCATAGAGCCTCGGCTGCTTCGTTTTCTTATGCCAAGCTGCTAACATCACATGTATGAAGTTACATGCAGTATGTTGGCTGTTTGCAATGGTTATTAACTATTGGGAGGACTAAAGGGAAAGAAAATTGGAGAGAAAAATCAAGAGATGTTTTCTGAACCTTAAAATTTGCACAGCAATATTACCTCTACTTATGCAAATAATTTACCTTTTCTCTGTTACTGTGCAAAGTCAACACCTCCTTAGACATATATTTACTCAGAGAAAAATGATGACTAATTTGTCAGCCAAAATATCAACTAAAAGGAATAAAATTAGTCCTAAAAGACTAGATTGGGGGATGTAACAAGAGAAATAAAGGAAAAACTTCACTTTAGTATTCTGTAAAATGGAGAGTGCAAGGCTTTTATAGCATGAAAATACAAATTAAAATATTATATACTCTTTATACCTATCAACTTAAAAAGGATTCAAGTGCTGAGTGCAGACAAGGATGTGGAGAAATGGACGCTCACGCGGTGCTGGGCAGCACAGAGCAGTTTTGTAGTGTCTCGTAAAGCTGGAAGTACAGATGCCTTCCTATGGAGCCCGGGGAAAGCCAGAAAAAAACTAAGGTGTTTTGGTTTGTTTTGATTTGTTTTTTAACATAATGAGATATAAATGATGATAAAACTTCAAGGTCAAAACGTCCTGCGTGCTTGCTAAGGCTGGGGAGAGAGAAAGACTAGAGCGCTGGTGTACAAGGGAGGGGCAGGGGGCCTCCCCATCGGGCACAGATAATAAGGGCTGCATTGTCTGCAGGGAATTTAAAAACAGAAATAGAACCAATGGAAAGTCAGTCTGCTTTCTTATTATCACCACATGCCGACATTTCTAAACGGTATTCCTCCCTGAAAAACAGTCTCTTGTTTGTCTAAGAGCACCTGGACGATTGCTGCGGTTGTTGCATGTTTTTAAACTACTTTATCCTTTAATTGCCGTTGTTTTCTACGTGGAAGTTACTTCAGAGAGTTTTCGGTTATGTGGTCAAAATCTCCGACACGCATGGACTCGGCTACATAATAGCTCAGGGGTAATTGGGTTGAAGGGAGGTTTTCTAGAACAAAGTAGATTTCACCAAATTGGTAGGTAAAGGGAAGGAGTCAGTGGAAAGGGAAGGATCGAAGAGAAGGGGTGGTGTGTAATTCACGCGTCAAATTCTTAGGCTTTTGCAGTTGTAGCTCCCTTTTGTTCACACCCTTGGGAGACTCTGGGCCTGCCTGTGACTCTGCCTGACCGATGGGACAATAACAGGTGTGATGCAGACAGACACTTGTGAAGTGCTTGCTGTGTGCAAGGGGCTTGCTCTCTTTTGTAGCCTGTGAGGGATCCTGCAGTTACTACCACATGAACAGGCCCACGCTAGACTTTCGGTTGATGAGTGGCACAAGGCTTAGCCACCTTTGTCACCCCAGCTGACATCAGGATAATTGCCAGATATGTGAGTAAGGCCCAGACAAGCCTTCAGCTGGTCATTGAAGTACGAGTGAGTACAGCTGAGGTTAGCCAATCCTGGCCCATATGAGCAGAACCATCCAGCTTTCCTATAAACTTGAAAGCAATGATACATGGTTGTTGTTTGAAGCCACTAAGGTTTGGGATGGTTTGTTACACAGCAAAAGTTAACTGATACAAGGTCCTTGAGTAGGTGGATGAGATTGGGATGGAAGGCAGAGGTAAAAGGGACAGATTAATCTTAGATAGCAGATAATATACATATATCTATGCTCCAATTTCCCCCACACACTCCTCCCCCACTTCCCCTAGGGTCAGGAGAAGGAATGCAGGCTCTGAAGTGAGACTATCTAAATTCAAATCCTGGCTTTGTTCTTTACTGGCTGAGTGATCTTGGGTACACATCTCATTCATCTGTAAAATAGGGATTTACCTGATAAAGTTGTTGAAGAGATCAAGTGGCATGTATGTAAGGGCCTGGTTCATAATAAACACCTTTTAAATGCTAGCTAAGTGGGTGCCTGAGTGAAGATACATTTGAGATGAAGTGATAGGGAAAGTTGAGGGCATGTGTATTGGCCAACATCAAAATCCTCAAGAATGTAGGATGTACAATATCTGCAGAGAGCAAAAGAGCAATAAAAATTTGAAGATAAAGAAAATGAATGGTGGTGAAAATATTGAGGTGATTATAGAGGAATTTCAAAAAATGGTTAAGGAGCAGTGATAGTCCAGTTGAGGTTAAAAAGAGCAATTTTGGGGGGACACGCTTAGCACAGTTCTGATTTCTACTACTGTGTTCAGTAGCTCAGGAGTGTAATTCGGGAGAGCAAACAATGAGATTGTTGAATGGCACGGGATGTGGCTGATCAACAAAGAAAAGGTGGGATCTAGGGAGCTGGTGCTAGGAGTGGTTGGCTGTGGGGTCTGAGTGGGCCTGGATGAAAGAGAGGGACCGTCAAGGAACTGAATGACTGAGAGAACAGAATGGGGTCAAAGGGCAAGGAGCAGGAGTCCTACAGACCTACTTGGAGGTGGGAAGCTGCGCTTTCTTAGTCGGTGGATCGTATCATTCTCTCCTTAGTGACTTGTTCCAGTGCCTAGAGCCAATGGTCTTGTTAGCCTCTGATTTTGTGTAGTTTTCTTTCAGGAGAACTTATTTTCTGAACTTCATTAAGGGACAACAAACTAGTTAAAAGAGACCTCTGGGTTTAGAATCCAGCCCATCTTGATGGCTCTCCTCTGAGGATGCTGTGCCTATTGGATCACCTGTCTTAGCTACTAAAACTTTTCCACACATGATCGGTATTAACTGCATGTCAAGGCAACAGGAAACGGGATTTTCTCTAGCACTCAGGTGTGCATCCAGTGGTCGGTCTGAATCTAGCATAGTCGAGCATCCTCTGGTGTCCCGAGTGAGCCTGTGAACTCCTGCCCCTCCTCTTTGCCTTCTTAGAATCTTAGATTTTTCCAGATCTGGCCCCATCTCTCAGCCCCATGGGGTCATTCCCAGTGCACCCAGCCTTACGTAACGTCTTCCTTCTCAGAACCACTGGAGCAGCTCATTTGACACTTAGCACGTGATACCTTTATTCCAGTTTTCTTAAAACCTAAGGGTCAATACATTTTCAAGCTAGAAGAGGTTTCAGAGATCACCTAATCCAACTCCCTGAGAAAATTGAAGCCCACAGACACTTAGTAAGTGACAGAACCAAGACTGGAATCCACCCTGCCCGTGTCGTTATTGGGTGATCTTTCTACTGTGTTAGGTGTAGATCCTGAGAGCACATCAGGTGCTTCAGGAGAAGGACCCCGAATCTCTAGCATTTACGTGTTGGGATTCTCAACAGATCTCCATCCACAGTGACCTGGCGCATTCCCAAACCACATGAGACAGCTGAAAGAGGAATCAATTCTTGTGTAGAGCAGATTTTCCAGTTAAAAAAATCATTAATGATTTCAAACCCTTCAATGTATAAAGTTTTCCAAATAAAATGTATCAAAGTTTTCATTTGTTATATAAGATGTTCAGGAGTTTCCATCTTTGTTCCTACAAGCAAAATGAAGTGAATCACTCAGCTTTGTTCCCTTAATTCACTGCTAAGGGTGGTCTTCTCTAAGATGTGCATGGACCACTTCTCATCAGTGTAGCTTATAGGGGCTTGTTTGAATCCCACAAAGGAAAATTCTCCCATCTGGCCCTTTTGCCAGTTAACTGGAAGAAGCTTACCTTTGTGGTTATTCATTTTAATTTCATTTCAGAAAAGAAAAAGCATCAAGGAGTCCATTTAATAAACAACAACATTTATGCAATTTAACTTAATTTGGCAATACGGATTGGGAAAAATTGGAAGAAAACAAGGGAAAATAAAAGAACACATATTGGGAGATGAACAAGTAGTGTTACCAGAAATACCAATTTTCCCTGTTTTGAATTTGATATCATAAAAACATCAATCTACTATCCAAGATTATCCAGCACCTATGATGTATGGCCCGGTACTCATCACCTCCAACAACTTCTTCTCTGAACCCATTTGAAAGGCGAGCACAGAGCCTGGCATTCTCATTCCAGCTAGTCCGCCTGTGACCGTGTTAAGAAGACATTCCCCAGAATAGTTCAGTCGACGGTTACTGTGAACATCGCCACAATTTCACCAATGCTCTATGTGTTCATTTCAGGGTGGTGGTTCTGAAATCTCAGGAAAGGCTTGTGAGCTTCCTGAAACAGAAGAATTCTTCCAGTAATTCTACCCCTGGGCTCAGTTTGGGCATTCCAGCCATACAGACCTCCTTCCTGCTCTCCACCTCAGCCTTCCTCCTTGCTCTCCTTCCCTCAAGTCAAAGAAATGACAACCACCACCCACTTGTAGCCAGTTCTCCTAATTCCACCCATGAGAGCCAAAAACCTAAAGAAAACACATTAATTTGTTTAAAAATGTCACTTGCGAACAGCAATTTTCACAGAAAGAATGTTCTCACCCTCTCGGTGCTGGTCCGCCGTGTATTTTCCTTCCAGACCTGTTCTTCCCCAAATGACTACAGCGTTTGCTGGCATTTCTGTGAAAGTATGTTCAAGCCCTCTTTAAGAGTCAGAAAATCTCCCTGAATTTGCAGGCAGCTTCCTGTGGGCTCACATTTTGCAGAATGCGTGCTTGGTGTGAGAAGGTGGGCAAGGTGTTTGAAAACAGGAAGCAGCTGTGAATGTGCGACTTCGTTCCTGGAAGCAGAGGTCTTCCCCTGAGATGGCTGTAGAGGTTTCCTGCCGTTTCACCTGGGAGCTCTTCTGCAAGGACTTTAAGGGCTTCCAATGGGCAGGATGGTGCATCCGTGGGCGTGGTGCAAATCCACAGCTTTTCTATTTTTTCCATGCAGGTTTCTCTTTTTGCTGAACATATTGCTATGCATGATGGTGAAGGTAGGCTTTTTAAAATTATTATTATTGTGCTAAAAATCACATGACATGAACTCTACCTTTTTAACAAATTTTTAAGTGTACTGTATAGTCCTGTTAACTACAGATATGATAGTGTACAGCAGATCTCTGGAATTTTTCATCTTGCGTCACTGAAACTTTATACCCATTTAACAACAACTTCTGATTTCCCCCGCCCTTCGCCCCTGGTAACCACCATTCTACTTTCTGCTTCAACGAGTGTGACTACTCTGGATATCTCATATGAGTAGAACCATGCAGTGTTTGTCCTTCTGTGACTGGCTTATTTCACTTAGCGTAATATCTTCAAGATTCATCCATGTTATAACATATGACAGGATGTCTGTCTGTTTTATGGCTGAATAATATTCCATTATATGTATATTCCATTTCCTTTACCCATCTATCTGTCAGTGAACATTTGGTCTGTTCCCACCTCTTGGCTATTGTTAATAATGCCGCAATGAACATGGGAAGTGCAAATATCTCTTTGAGATACTGATTTCAATTATGTTGGATATGTACCTAGAAGTGGGATCCCTGGATCATATGATAGTTCTACTTTTGAATTTATGAGGAATCTCCATGTTGTTTTCCATAGTGGCTGCATCATTTTACATGCCCACCAACAGTGCACAAGGGTTCCAATTTCTCCATAGCCTCACCAACACTTATTATTTTCTGTTTTTTGGATAAAGGCTGTCTTCATCAGTTTGGGCTGCTATAACAAAAATACCATAGACTGAGTGGCTTAAACAACAAACACGTTTCTCACAGTTCTGAAGGTTTAGAAATCCAAGATCAAGACACTGACAGATGTGGTGGCTGGTGAGGGCCCGTTTCCTGATTCATTGAAGGCTGTCTGGTCACTGTGTCCTCACATAGCTTTGGGTTCTTCATCCCCTTCCAACGGCACCAATTCCATCATAGGGGCTCCACCCCCATGACCTACTCCAAACCTGATTACCTCCGAAAGGCCCTGCCTTCAAATACCATCACAGCAGGGGTTACACTTCAACATGTGAATTTTGGAGGCACAGGAACTTTCAGTCCATAGTAGGGATCATCCGGACAGGTGTGGTGATATTTCATTGTGGTTTTGATTTCCATTTCCCTGATGATTAGTGATCTTGAGCGTCTTTTCATGTACCTACTGGCCATTTACAGGTCTTCTTGGGAGAAATGTCTATTCAAGTCCTTTGCCCAATTTTTAATTGGGTTATTAGGTTTTTTTTGCTATTGGGTTGTAGGAGTTCCTTATATATGTTGGAGATTAACCCGTTATCAGATATATGGTTGGCAAATATTTTCTCCCATTCTGTAGGTTGTCTTTTCAGTCTGTTGATTGTTTCCTCTGCTGTTCAAATGCTTTTTACTTTGGTGTAATCCAACTTTTCCATTTTTGCTTTTATTGCATGTGCTTTTGGTGTATATCCAAGAAATCATTGTCAAGATCAATTTCATAAAGTTTTCCCCCTATGTTTTATTCTAGGAGTTTTATAGTTTCAGGGCTTATGTTTAAGTCTTTAACACGTTTTGAGTATATTTTTGTGAATGGTGTAAGATAGTGGTCCAGTTTCATTCCTTTGCGTGTGGCTGTCCAGTTTGCCCAGCACCATATATGGAAGAAGCTATTCCTCCTTTGTGTATTCTTAGCACCCCTGTTGAAGATCAGTTGAACTTATATGCATGAGTTGATTTCTCAGCTCTCTCTTCTGTTCCATTGGTCTATAGGCCTGTCTTTATGCCGGCATTATACTGTTTTGATTACTGTAGCTTTGTAACATGTTTTGAAATCAGCAAGTGTGATGCCATCTTTGTTTCTTCTCAAGATTGTTTTGCCTATTTAGGGTCCTTTGTGGTTCTATATGAATTTCAGGATTATTTTTTCTGTATCTGTAAAAAATGCCATTGGGATTTTGATAGGGATTGCATTGAATCTGTAGATTGCTTTGAGCAGTGTGGACATTTTAACAATAAGTCTTCCAATCCATGAACACAGAATGTTTTTCCATTTATTTATATCTGCTTTCATTTTTTTAAGCAATGTTTTATAGTTTTCAGCGTACGAGTCTTTAGTCTTCTTGATTAAATTTGTTTCTAAGTACTTCCCTCTTTTTGATGCTATCATAGATGGGATTGTTTTCTCAATTTCCTTTTTGGATTGTTCGTGGTTAGTGTGTAGAAATGCAACTGATTTTTGTATGTTTATGTTTTATCCCACAAGTTTGCTGAACTCGTTTATTAGTTCTAGCAGTTTTTTGTGCAATCTTTAAAGTTTTCTATACGTAAGATCATGTCATCTGTGAACAGAGATAATTTTATTTTTCCTTTCCAAGTTGAATGCCTTTTAATTCTTTTTCTTGCCTAATTGCTCTGGCTAGGCCTATCAGTACTATGTTGAATAAAAGTGTCAAGAGTGGGCATCCTTGCCTTGCACCTGATCTTAGAGGAAAAGCTTTCGGTTTTTCAACTGTGAATATGATGTTGGCGATGGGCTATTTATACATGGCACTTTTTATGTTGAAGTAATTTCCTGCTATTCATACGTTTTTACTGTTTTTATCATGAAAGAGTGTTGAATCAGTCAAATGCTTTTTCTGCATCTATTGAGATATCTTGTGATTTTTAACCTTTGTTCTGTTAATGTGGTGCATCACATTGATTGATTTGTGGATGTCAAACCATCTTTGCATTCTAGGGGTAAATCCCACTTGGTCATGGTATATAGTACTTTTTATGTGTTGTTGAGTTCAATTTGCTAGTATTTTGAGGGATTTTGCATCTATATTCATTAGGGATATTGGTCTGTAGTTTTCTTTTCTTTTAGTGTCTTCTTCTGGCTTTGGTATCAGAGTAATGCTGGCTTCATAAAATGAGATTGAAAGTGTTCTCTCCTCTTCAATTTTTTGGGAGAGTTTGAGAAGGATTGGTGTTAATTTTCCTGTAAATGTTTGGGTAGAATTCACCAGTGAACCCATCTGGCCCTGGGTTTTTCTTTGTTGGAAGATTTTTGATTACAGATTCAATCTCTTTACTAGCTGTATATATACTCAGATTTTCTATTTATTCATGATTCAGTCTTGGTACATTATATGTCTACGTATTTATCCATTTCTCCTAGGTTATTCAACTTGTTGGCATATAACTGTAAATAGTAGTCTCAGAATCCTTTTTATTTCTGTGGCGTCAGTTGTAATGTCTCCTCTTTCATTTCTGATTTTATTTATTTGAGTCTTCTCTCTTTTATCCATAGTGAGTTTAGCTAAAGTTTTATCAATTTTGTTGATCTTTTCATAAAACTGACTCTTAGTTTTATTGTTTTTTCTGTTTTCTATGCATTTATTTCTGCTGTAATCATTATTATTTCCTTCCTTCTGCTAACTTTAGACTTATTTTGTTCTTATTTTTCTAGTTCTTTGATATACAGAGCTAGGTGGTTTATTTGAGATCTTTCTTCTTTTTTTAATGTAAGTATGTATCACTATTAAAAAATCCCCCTTAGTACTGCTTTTGCTGCATTCCATAACTTTCGGTGTGTTGCATTTTCATTTTCATTTGTCTCAAGATATTTTCTAATTTTTTAATTTCTTCTTGATCCATTGGTTGTTCAAGAATATGTTGTTTAGTTTCCAAATATGTATGAATTTTCCAGTGTTCCTTCTGCTATTGATTGCATTTCATTTCATTGTGATTGGAAAAGATACTTGGTATGATTTCCATCTTCTTAAATTTGTGAAGATTTGTTTGGTGACCTCATGTGATCTATCCTGGAGAACACTCTGTGTGCACTTGAGAAGATGTATATTTTGCTGTTATTAGGTAGAATGTTCTGTATTTGTTTGTTAGGTCCATTTGGCCTATAGTGTTGTTCATGTCCTCTATTTCCTTATTGATCTTCTGTCTGGATGTTCTATCCATTATTGAAAGCGAGATATTGAAATCTCCTTCTATTATTGTGTTGCTATCTATTTCTCCCATCGGTTCTTTCAATATTTACTTTATATTTTTTTTTGCAGCCTTCTCTTCTTTTTTTTTTTTATTGAGTTAATGATAGGTTACAATCTTGTGTGATTTCAGTTGTACATTAATGTTTGTCATTTGTGTTGTAGGTGCACCACTTCACCCTTTGTGCCCACTTCTCACCCCACCTTTCCCCTGGTAGCCACTAATCTGTTCTCTTTGTCCACATTTTTAAATTCTTCATGTGAGTGGAGTCATACAGAGATTATCCTTCTCTAACTGGCTTGTTTCACTTAACATAATTCCCTCAAGGTCCATCCATGTTATTGCAAATGGAATGATTTTGTTCTCTTTTGCAGCTGAGTAGTATTCCATTGTGTATATATACACCACATCTTCTTTATCCATTCATCTGTTGATGGGCACTTAGGTTGCTTCCACGTCTTGGCTATTGTAAATAATGCTGCAATGAACATAGGGGTGCATAGGACTTTTGGAATTGCCGACTTCAAGCTCTTTGGATAGATACCCAGTAGTGGGATAGCTGGATCGTATGGTAGTTCTATTTTTAATTTTTTGAGGAATCTTCATACTGTTTTCCATAGTGGCTGCACCAGTTTGCATTCCCACCAGCAGTGGATGAGGGTTCCTTTTTCTCCACACCCTCTCCAACATTGGTTACTATTAGATTTAGATATTTTTGTCATTCTAACGGGTGTTGCTTCATATATTTAAGTGCTCTGATGTTGGGTGTG